ACCATCCTCAATAGACCAACTTCGCTACACTACTAGAGTTCTTGAAGTAGACATCACAAATTCCTTCTTTTACATCAAAGACATTCTTGCAATCTCTTTTAGCATAGAAAGAAGTATGGCATATATTTGCCATTATGGCATTAGAACATATTAATGATTACATTATTTTGATCTAAGATACTTCTAGCTCAGCATTGGCCTCTGACAGTAGCTAGAACCAACCAAAACTGCCTAAGAAAAAGTACAAGAGTAGCGATGCTTCTTCTCACTGTTCTTCCAGACTGCTATCATTTCAGCCCAGGAACAACTTCTTTCTATGTATATAGTAGTTCTCAATGGAGAGCTAATTGGAGAACAACAGATAATAATGATCTATAATAGAGATAGAGAGTATCCTGCTACTACTGGAGTTGTACAGATACTGGAGCTTATGCTATTTATTGTGACTGAGAATCATTCTCATGACATTAAAAATGGCCAACCAAGGATGCAGCCATGCAAAATACAATATTACAGACCAACCCAAAGGGTCACCATACAAATTAGTCCATGCATTAATTGTCCAGCATACAGGCTGACTTGGGATTTTGTTGGGCAGAAGAGGAAAGAAGGGTGCTTAACAAATATTTTAGATTTTTAAAAGAAGAAAGAATCAGAAAATTCTGTGGTTACAAACACGTGCCTTAAGAGCCAAATGTTGTCACATTACCTTTATAAGTTTAATGAAGGGCAAGTGTGATCCACCAAGCTTTGATACTCCAAAGTTCTGAGCTTGGGAATAGGACAGACATGGAAGGCAATGCAACTGCAAAACCAATTTGTGATCTAATCTCACAACTGTAGCTGCCTCACTACTGTAAGTATACCACTTCGTTTTTTGATGCCTCATATTCATTGTTAATAAAATGAGAATTACACTTAAAGAAAAAAATCAACTGACAATCAAGTTCAGAAGCTTGATTTGAGATTCTAAACTGCTTTAAAATAAGCATTTTTCCTCATGCAAGTTAGCATTAAACCAAATTTTTCTTAATTCTTTGATGAAGATACAGACAGGAGCATTTAGAAGTTATTTAACCAAGTAAATACAGCACTATATAAAACAACCCCCCAAACTATTCTACTTCATAATTCCCAGGGGAATTTACTACTAGTTAGGAGTAATAGTTAGGAACATGCAGTTCTGGATGTTTCAAATTTAAGCTGCCTTAAAGCATTTACAATTGAAGCTTTTGAAAAACTTTTCTTTGAAGTCCACTTATTCATAGATTTCATTGAAACTTTAAAAAAAAAGCGATAATTTTCTAAACAATTGTACATGACCCTCAAGTCAGACACATTCTACATGTGATTAAACAAAGAGATTTAGCTAGACAGAAGGCAAAATCCTGAGAAAGTTAAAATGCAAAGAGCTGCAACTGAACTCTAGTATTAAATTATCCGATTTCCCAGAAATGTCATTTGAAATGAAACAGACAACCTGAAGATTAACCTTTACTGTGAACAGAAAGAGATATTATACAAATTTAGAAAGTACTCCAAATATTTACAAAAGCTATTTCATTTATTTTTATATAATCCAGTAATAGAAGAATGGATAATTAAGGTTTTCATTTGTTACTCAGGAAGTAGAACTACGTAACATAACACCCTGCAATAACAGAGTAATCATGGAATCACAGAATCGTTTAGCTTGGAAAATGCCTTTAAGATCATCAAGTATTAGCTCTTACTTCATTACAGCAATTAATGGTCCTACCAGTTATGAATACTGAAGGACAACTGATTAAAAAAGGTGTGTAGTCGCACACAAATACGTTCAGACCCTGTAAAAAGCTATAAACAATTTATTTCTTCACTTTACAGATTCTAAGATTTTAATAAAATCCCTAGTAATGATTTCCATTACAAACAGCAGGTATCTAACTTGAAAAGTTACAGAAACAGTGAGCTACCTTACCAACAACAATTAAAAAAAAAAAAACCCCAAACAAACCACAACCCACAAGACACTTTAAATACAATACGTAAGACTTACCTGAACACTTCCCTAACCAGCCATCAAATGTTACTAGCCAATGAAAAATCTGTGTAACAATACTGGTAGTAGCTTAATAAATATGGTCAAAGCAATGTCAGAACACTCTGGATTATAATAAAAATACACCCTAAAAGCTTACATCTGAAATACACTACTATATATAATCTATGCTGTTAACACTACATAAACACAAAGGGGAGAACGAAGAAATAAGTTAATATCAATATTTGTGTTCTATGCCATGTTTTCTCAATACTCCATATCAGTGTAAAATTACCATTTTTTTTCAAATTCATGTTAAGACATCAATCTGTATTTTATGTCATAACACATTCCCTCAGTGACAAAATCTGAATTAAATTACTTAAGTAGAAAACAAAGTCATCTCACTTAATTTTGATTACCCAAATTACTTAGCCCATTCACACGGTGCTCCCTCCTCCCCCCATTTAATAGTTTTTTGCTAATGAAACCTCTGTTCTGTGCATCTGTAATGTTCAGGGTAGAGGAGAGGGAACCCAACTATTATTGATTAAACTGTATAAAGAATTTTAAAATAAAATTGCACTTACATCATAACTATAGTCTGCATCATTTGTTACTGTCAAGTCTGCAAGGTCTCCAAGGCCCAGTACACTTAACAACACATCATCAGAACCCATAATAAATGACTTGCCTCCTCCAGGTGGAAACGTTATTGGCTCAGCTACAAAGAACAAAACAGTTTCTTTAAGTCTCAATGTAATAATTCAAACTGATGAAAAACCTGCATTATTCATCACTTAAAGCAAAGCAGAGTTTAAAACTGAATGTGTATGTACTACATACTGCCCCAACTAAAAAAAACCAGCATGATGACACGCATACTTGTGCAAACACACACACATATATTAAATAAACAATTCTTATATCATGCTTTGTCATTTGATTTCAACTTACTTTACATATGTGTCCAATACAACTGACAAGCGACTTGACTGACATTAAATTACATTGTAATATCAAATGTACAACCCAGCTCTCCAAATTCTCAGCTAAGTATTTAATTCACTACACCATACTATCTGCCTTCTATCCATTTGCAGTAAGTTTCTGCGCTTTATACTAATCAAATATCTCTATTTGCATGTGTAAGTATTTTTTATCTCCCAGGCTAAAGGCCTCCTGCAAAACATCTCTTCTACTTTGATTTTTTTCAGGTGATTAAAAAAAATGAAAACATGGATTATTCATGAATTCTCTCTCTTACTTTCTCAGCATGATTTTGGATTCTAATTTAAAATACACTCAACTGATACTTATCTTAGCTAGCTGTGCCTTCCCCAAATTAAAATTCACCATTTGTGTTAATTATCATTTAGAATTAATACAAAATATATATAAGCATTCATTCTCAATTCACATCTGAAAAATAAAGTTTCACAGTCACCCATACTCTTTACACTCTTCAACAATTCTGTGTATCTCCTTCTACCCACAAATACCAATTTAACAGTAAGGAACAGGAATAAAGGCTTAAACTTTGCAATACTTTAGCATATTCTAGAAACTCCTTTTACTTATCAGTATTTCCTTCTGTGCAAAAATTGGGCCATTTGTTAGGTAGAGTACTTAAACTTTAGCTATGTGTGAACTTCAACTAAGTGCAAACATCTGCAAAATATGTTAAATTGTATTTGACATCTGTCTTGGGTTTGCATGGCGATGTTTCGGTAGTGGGAGGCTACAGGGGTGGCTTCTGTGACAAGCTAGAAGCTTCCCCCACATCCAATAGAGCCAATGCCAGCCGGCTCCAGGACAGACCCGCCACTGGCCAAGGCCGAGCCCATCAGCGACAGCAGCAGCACCTCTGGGATAATGTATTTAAGAAGGAGGGAAAAAAACCCCACCACACCCAAAACCACCGGGACACAAACTGCAGCTCAAGTGCAGAGTGAGACTATGTGAGAGGAACAACCCTGCAGACACCAAGGTCAGTGAAGCAGGGGGAGGAGGTGCTCCAGGCACCGGAGCAGAGATTCCCCTGCAGCCCGTGGTGCAGCCCATGGAGGCCCATGGTGGAGCAGATCTCCACCTGCAGCCCAGGGAGGACCCCATGCTGGAGCAGGTGGATGCGCCCGAAGGAGGCGCTGACCCCATGGGAAGCCCACGCTAGAGCGGGCTCCTGGCAGGACCTGTGGCCCCGTGGAGAGAGAGGAGCCCACGCTGGAGCAGGTTTGCTGGCAGGGCTGTGACCCAGCGGGGGACCCACACTGGAGCAGTCTGCTCCTGAAGGACTGCACCCTATGGGAAGGACCCATGTTGGAGAAGTTCATGGAGGGACCCCATGCTGAAGCAGGGGAAGAGTGTGAGGAGTCCTCCCCTGAGAAGGAAGGAGCAGCAGAGACAACGTGTGATGAACTGATGGCAACCCCCATTCCCTGTCCCCCTGTGCTGCTCGGGGGGAGGAGGTCGAGAAAATCGGTAGTGAAGTTAAGCCCGGAAAGAAGGGAGGGGTGCGTGGAAGGTGTGTTAAGATTTGGTTTTATTTCTCATTACCCTAGACATGTTCTCACTCCTCTCTCCTACTCAGTTTTGACTGGTAATAAATTACAGTGATTTTCCCCAAGACGAGTCTGTTTTGCCTGTGATGGCAATTGCTGAGTGATCTCCCTGTCCTCATCTTGACCCATGAGCTTTTTCATTCTATTTTCTCTCCCCTGTTCAGTTGAGAAGGGGAGTGATCGAGCAGCTTTGGTAGGCACTTGGCATCCAGCCAGGGTCAAACCACCACACCATCTTTAAAAATTAAACTTGCTTGACTTTTGGATTTCACTGATTTGGCCGAGAGAGAGATGGTCTCACTTTAAGGCCACCCCTTGTTCTAATCCTCTCAGAAAAACCTTGAAACTCAGAGAAAATGAAGTTTCCAGATCCAAAACCCATCCATATCCTGGTTTTTGTCTTACAAAAATAGTTCCAAACAAGAGGACTAATATCAACACATTCCAGTTTTGAACATGCATCTTTATTATTCTGCATCGCCCCTATCTGAACGGTAACCTAGTTATGTTCCACTCCAGCTGAAGAAAAGTAACTCAGACTAGGTGTAAAGTTACAGACGCCTGGCATCATTGCTATGGTTATGCAAAGACGAGCCAGACTAGCTAGATCAACAAATCACTTCTCAAGAATAAAACAAGTTCTAATGCTTCAGAACTACTCTACTATTAAAAAATGTAATATTAGCAGAGGCAACACAACTGCATGTGAGAATCTAAGAATATAATCTATATAAGAATAAAGACTGCTGTTCCTACAATTGCATAAAGAGCAAATAGTGTTCTAACTATGCACAATTGCCTCTTTTTAAAACATTCACAATCCCTACAAAGGTCCTGACTCATCAGAATGCTACATTAAATTGACAGCCCAAAATAGCTTACCATGCCCTTATATAAATAAGCTTTCAATTTCTTTTACTATTTTACTAAAACTCTCAATTTGAGAGTTTATTCCAAACCACTCATTTCAGAAAAAGCCATATTCCTAGAAAACACCTAATTATTTTCCATGTTCCCACCTATTTCCCTTATTACTGGTTTTTGGGTTTGGGGCTTTTTTGGGGAGGGTGAGGGGGTATCCAGTCATCCATGCTTATTACATGAGAGCAGAACTTCTAAGGATTGATTTCTTAGTGAAAGTGTCTGAGCTGAGTATAAAAGGAGATACAAACAATGGTTTATATGAAGCAAGAAATAAAGTAACATCACAAAAAATTCTCAGGGTGAACCTAAATTGTGAAATCCTCAAATGAATAACAATTAGCCCCTCAATTACTTCAGAGACCAAGTTTTTCCTGGTTGTTTTCTGATAGAAGGCGACTAGGAAAAGAAAAAGATTACAAAAGAAACAGCAGGGGGTGTGTGTGTGCACATTAGGGTGGGGTTTGTTGTTGTTGTCATTGTCATTGGTTGGTTGGGTTTGTGCAGTTTTTTTCCCTTTTCTTTTTGTCTCCCAAAGAAAGACTCCAATACTTTTGTTTGGAATTTCCAAAACTGGCTCACCTCTACTACTTTGACAAGTTCCCAGCCTCCCAAATACAAGTACCCGTTTACAAGTCAAACCTGCCAAGCCATTATTGAGCAGAGCTGCCAATCACCGGGGAAAGGAGGCAACACGCTCATTTTAACTTGAGGACACTTTCCACCCCTGTTGCTATGCTGTGACTCCGCTGTGACTCTGATTTCATCTTTAGGACAGACCCACAAGGTTTAAATAAGCCCCTGAACTTGTCATACTAATTCTTTGTGAAATTTATGTCAGCTGTCCTTAACAGATAAACTTTCATGAGCTTTATACTAAAAATCACGTGCTACCACATTAAGAGCCTATATTATAAATTTATCAAGCTTTATTTGCAGAGGTGAATATTCTGTTATTTACAGCTTCAAAATTAATGCTATCCAAAATTTAGAAGCATATTTCTCAACACTAAAGTTGCCAATATGTAGTATAACTACATTTTATTTGCACATTTTATTATTTTAAAATAAGACATTCAAAGAAGTTTAAAAAATGGTTGCAAGCTGTTTTTATAAAAAGAAAGGGCAGAAAAGTAATAAAATGAAAGATTCATGATGTTATAGCTACTAAAAATAAAGACCCACAACTCGCATATCAAAACCATTGCATCAATAAATATATATGGAAATGATAAAGTTAAATAAATTACTCATAGAATGCTTTTCATCTTAAAAAAAAAAATCCAAGTATTTTTCTAAAACACACAGTACAGTATTATCCTCACAGCATAATATATATGTTTAACCGAGTTTGCAATCAATAAATACCAAGCAAAAATTTAAGTGATAGTAGAAGTTTCTTTGTAGGTGAAACTAGGTGAAAAAAATGCAACGATTAAATATTTGCTTGGCCAGTCCTAACCAGCACTTCTTACCCTCAAGTTCTTGACATCATACATAATTTAAGTCAAAATCAAGCAGTAGTATTTGTACAGACCGAAACTGTTTAACCTCTAATCAAATATGCATGTTCATATATGCTGTTGTTGTCTACTATATGACAGGGACATCTTAATCTTGTTTCCCAGAAAGTTAATACGTGGTAGACCAAAAGCAGCAGTTAATGACTGAGCAATTAGTTGCTACTGCTATTTTTTTGTCGGTCTATAGACTGACACCCCCACAGTCTTTAGGTAAAGAAAAACAACATGAAAATAATAATTATCTGTACAATACACTGGATGGACAATCATGCTGCAGTTGATTCTGTTTCTGAAAGTCATGCAATATGGTGAAATGGAAACCCCAATTTCTTATGGTCAAAACTATACAGTGTAATTACAGCATAACAATTTTCTCATCATATTTAAGCAGGCACTTGACAGTGAAAAGAAAAACAACAAACCAAAACCTACACCTTTGGAGGTATAAAAGATATATTCCCAGCCAATTAGAACCATAGTTTACTTTCCTCCCTGAACCCCCTCCTCCCCTCAAGAAAAAAAAGGAAAAAAGTGAGCTTAATAACACTTTGTTCTCCATATGAAAACAAAACTATCAACCACTATGTCAGAACTGTAACACTGCGGAGTGTAGCATAAACCTTACATACAGTCACAATAACATTATGGCTTGGTAACATTCATCAGCATAGGCTAGTGTGTCCCAGCAAGAAAGCCTAAAGCTGTCTGCAAAAAACTTTTTAACACAAAGCTGAATAAAGAATTGTGTAAAATCTGCATTTTATGATAACAAAGTGTTTGGCCTTGCTAACAAAAGACAGACCTAGAAGGAATTCAAAAGACAACACTAAGCTTGTTTGCTTGCAGCTTTGCACCATACGGTACAGACAAAAACTTAAAAAGCCATGTAGTATTCAGGCTAGAATTTCTGATTAAGCAGCAAAATTTACACTCTTCTGTTCAAGTTTAAAAGTTAGGCATAAACCACAATTACAAGATATGATGGTAGAAATATTCATACTATTTCTCTTAATGAATAAAGCCCAAACTACACTGATAAACTGAAAACACATGAACACATTAAATAGCATGAAAATATAATCCTGAAGGCACAGTGTATTTGAAAATAGCATGGACAATCTTTATTTGAAGCGTAGCACAGTGTTTGTGCTACAGGAACCAGGCAATAAAAGTCAGTTCCTATCAAATTTAGCATCTATTTCTTCAGAAAGATTGTTTTGGCCTATATTATTTTAGATGTAAAGTGTCTAAAAGAGACAACAGCTACATGGCCTGTCCTTAACAATGAACATCTGTGTTCCTTTGCACAACATGTATGGCCTAAGAAAAATAGCCTAAGACAGACTGAGGAAACCATAACTGTAGGGTTACATGCCCTTGATACCTTAACAAGGCTAAAAAGCAACCTAAAGCACGTAAATACTAAACCTAAATACAACCTAAATATAAGTCCACAAGTTTTAGCGAGTGGAACTTCACCAGTATGTTTTTCAATTGCACTCCACAGGTAAATTTCATACTGGTTCATCTTTAAGTTGTAAATAAAAACAAAGATGAAAAGGAATGCAGTAAAAGAGAAGGTGGGAAGACAAACACTTTCGTAAAATAATAGTTTGGGAGAACAACAAAAAACCTCCCTGCAAAATTTCTATTTTTATGCTTGCCTGGTGACAGGCATTTGTGAGGGCAGGGGTGAAGGAAGAACAGGAGAACCAACAGATTATTAGGATCAGTAGTAACGCAAACTCTTTCCACTTCTGGTATAGCTGATACCATGCCAGGGCTTACGGGTCAAAGATCATCATAAAGGAGCCAAATCTGAATTCAGCTGACTATTTTGAATGAATACGTTCTGAGTAGAGGACAGAATTTACATAACGGTATTCTAATCTCGAAGTTAGTAAGAGGAAAATCATTCCTTTAAAACAAAAAAAACTTAAAGCTGAATACAAAATTTTGGACTACTTAGATAATAGTTTGCCACTAACTTCCATTGCCTAAAATAATCCTGAAATTGAAACTAAAACTTTGTAAAGAAATAAATAGTGCCTTTGTACACTTGTGTATATAGACCAAGAGAATTATAAAAAGAGACCATTAAACTTGAGGAAAAGAGATGAATTAGTCTCATATCTTAAAAAAACAGTTTTAAATTTCACTTTAAAATGCAAACTGTGTATCAAATGTTAATACTCACCTTTTTTCTGCTCAATCAGTAACACCCTATTTGTGAAAGGTTTTGCTAACAGGGGGGTCTGCAAACAGGGATTTAATAGTGAATAGTTTCAGAACACACTGCTGTACATGAAGTTCTTTAAAAATACTTATGAAATAATGGTGAGTTATGATAAGCCACAGAAACTCAAGCCATATTCTCATAAAACCATTTGGGAAGAACTGCAAATAAAATAATAATGTGGCAATCTGCAATTGCATTAAGCTTTATAGAGGGGGACAGTGAATTACAGCGTGTGCTTTCTAAAAGAAATCTCCTGAAATATAATAAGTAGCTGAATTTTTTGTACCTTCCTCTGCTCTTGCACCTTCATGATCAGTCATTCTAGAAGAGGGTGACCTAGATTGATTAATGATTCCTGAAGGGATGTGGGGTATCTCATCATCGCCCAGATCAGCTATCATGTCGTGAAGTTTTGTCCTGTTGACTCCTGTAAATTAACGTCAGCAGCAAAGATTCATTTGATTGCTACCGCTTGACTTGACTGAAGTCTAAAAAATCCATTAAACTAATTAAACAAGAATAATTACTGATGGGACCTCCTTAAAATAAATACAGTGCTTTGCTTTTGTCTTTGTATATTAATAAAATTGATCTTTTGGAAAGCAAAGGAAGGACTTAATACATCAAATCTGAAAACTACATGCAAACAGTTTTAATTCACTAAATCAAAGAGTAAAACTCCTTTGTGTTCTGTAGATCTATTCTACGATTTCCTGTGGGAGAGAAAAAAAGTCATCTTACAGCCCTACTGAGAAGTCAAGCCAAATATTAAAAGAACATTAACTATTAAACAAAATACATATGAATTAAACATTTGCTAATATTATTACACAACTTCAACTATACTAAACAATTTAACACTGAAAAACAGAGTGCAAATAAAAAATAAGCTTAAAAATGAGGGAAGAAGTACAGACAACTCATAACGGGGGTGCAACGAACAATTAACTTTCCCTGCTTTCGAATGGTATTTGAATTGTATGAAGTGTTTATTAAACACAAGAGCAAGAATGCTTCCACCACTGTATGAGACTGCAGATGTATATTACCCTTACTATACAAGCATGCCTATGGAAACTAAGCATACTGAATTATATGTGCATTAAAATCACGATGTAGACACTAGCAAACAAGAACAGTATGTTATAATTTAATTTTTTTTTTTAAAATTAATAAAT